GTTGCCTGATGTTCAGCCCAATACCAGTGACGTCATATCGCCAGCTGATGCCTACCGGCATTTCGTCGGTCCTATAGGGCCCGTGGAACCCACGGCCATTGACGTCTTACAGTCATATAGCAGTGACGTCGTTAGCTGACAACCTTGCGGTCTTCAAGTTGGCCGAAAAGCACCGTTGGAACTCATGGCCAGTGATGTCACACACTCAGGTGGTTCGGCAGCTTTCATCCAGCGCGCCAATGCTTGCAGTAGACAAGTACAAAGGTAAAAATGAAGCACGGCCTCTTGCGCCCAGTTTTTATTCGAATACCAGTGACGTCACGCTATCCGGTGATACTTCGCGGACCACGACACACCGTGGTCGTGAGGCCTAAGTGCACTCGTATGAAGTGATGATTAGGGACGTCACACATTGGGGTAATTCGGTCAAACCTTTATGCGGCACGCAAATGCTTGCAGCAGACAGGTACGAAAAGTAAAGATGGAACGAGGCCGGCTGCGCCTGATGTCCAATCAAATACCAGTGACGACACATGGCCAGCTGACGCATTACGGCATTCAGTGGGCCCAAAAGAGCCTTACACAGTCACGACCAGTGACGTCACATACCCAGCCGAATACCAGTGACATCATATCACAAGCAAAAGCCTTATGGCCTTCAGTCGGCCCAAAAGAACCCCGATCCCGATCGATGCAAAACCATTTTCAGTGACGTCACAATGTTAGCTGATGCCTCACAGCTTTTGCCCCGCACGACAATACTCGAAACCCTGCAGCTAGCGTAGCTCTTCCCTCCGTCGGCCACACAGGTACCCAAGTAAAAAATTACCGGGAATGTATGCTGAAGATGGGTGATGGAACTTAAGGTATGAATGATATCAACATTCCATGCAAGTCCAGTGGATTTTAAGATATTTGCATTAATCTGGTACAGTCTGGGGTCTGATGGTAAATAAATCTGGTAGTCTCAACCCTCAAGCTGCATTTCATGTCCTTTTCATGTAATTATAACAACCTTAAAAGATATTTTCAGAATACGCCTTATATTTATATTTTCTGTCATAGGCACCGAGCCTGCTGGATTTGTTGGATCCAAGCCATTTTATGATCATCTTAGGATAGCTCTAATGTTCCTTGAATGTTAAGGTCATTGGCTGCATCTCACACTGTTAAACTGATAATTATGATATTTGGGGTGAATCAATCATTTAATTACTACATGTGCCAGTCACCATACAAATTTCACAACATAGTGCTGCTAACTGGGCATGCACGTAAATGTTCTTTTCTATTTCACACAAATAGTTGTATTTTGTGGGTAGAGCTGTGACAAAGCTGTTATGATAGGGGAAAGACAAACAAATTAGCACAATTTGATAGCAAATATTATGGGATCAATCTCAATGGAAGCTTTTAGGACTATTTTGGCACCTGCTTTACCACATTCCCACCAGTCCTTAAGCATATTGTGGTGTTGACTGATAAGTCAGGGTGCCATGATGTTAGGCATCCTTTGTGTCATAATATGCTAGGTTTGTGTTTAGTGACACCATGATTCAATTCTGGTCTTGTTTTGTATCTAAGCTTGTATGGTCTGGCCAAAGAATGTGAGGAGGGCCAGCATTGGTCATTAAAATATTAGTGCTATAGGAAGTGTGAAGATGGAAGGCAGGGCCCAAGGGTATATGAAACTTGCATCTGTAGCTATCTATCCAAGGCTTTCACATTTGTGGGGTAATTGGTTTCAGATGATCAGCTCAAAAAGTCTGGCAAATGCTAAGTAACTTGTATGCTAAGTGTAAGTCTGGTATGAAATGAAATACATGGTGGTTCCATTCTGTGTAGCAGTGATAGCTGGGAATTGTTTTCCAGGTTTACCTTACAGCTGACAAATGTTCAGATAAAAATTTGTCTACTTTTGGCACTGTGCGAAGTTGTCACTATATGCTTGTATGGATGCTTTCTTATTAAGCATATATTTGTTGGAGGTTATTGGCCTGAGCCACTTTAAATGGTGCTGAGTGCTTCTAACAGGCCAGACCCCAGGCTACTGTTTATTTATTATTTTTATTATTTTGCATTATTTTTACATTATTTTTATATTGTGGTGCCTTGCCAATGCTTACATGAAGACCTCTGTAATAAGTGTGGTGCACCCAAATGTAAGTACTGCTCTCAGTTAATGATCGTCTGGCATTTGGGTCGCTTGGTTATCCCAGATGGTGTTCTTTGCCTTGTCAGCTTTTGGGGCACATACTATTTGTACATCAGACAAAGTGTATCTACATCAATGTGGAATATACTTTACATTACTAGTAAATTACCATGCAGATGTCCTTAGTATGTCTCATAACTGCAGAGTGTTGTGCCAAAATGCCATTATTGCAGGTGGTATTTTGATAAAATATGGTATCTAAGCCCACATAGCTGAACCAGTGGTTTAGCTAGATGCTGACATATCTGACATGGATCTTGATAGCATGTATCTGTCCACTTGTCAGCACCCAAGGGCAGTCATCTTGGCATTCATATGGTGTACTGGTGCAGGAGTCAGCAAAGATGTTCTATAAACATGAATTCCGGTTGATGTCACACCCCATATTATGACCTCATCCATCTTACACTGTCTTCTAGGAACAATGCAGATCCTCTGACTTCACACTTGCATGCATATAGTTCGGGCGCGCGAGGTGGCGGCGACGGCGGCGCCTCTCCCACCGCATCCTGCGCTGGTGGTGACTCCCCACCCGTCCTGTCCCGTGACCTCCCCCCCCCCGCCGGCCTTCCAGACGGTGCCCCCCGCGGGGGCGGCTGGCTGGGCCGCGTGCCGCCGCCACTGGCTGGCGCCTGGGGCGTCCCGACTTCCCAGACAGCGTCACAGCTGCTGCTGCGGCGGCGGCTGCGGCAGCGGCGGCCCGGTCCTCGCACGGGTCACCGGTGACGTGTCCTCCGAGCGACGCCGTCGCGGAGCCGGAGCAGGCAGCGGTGCTGTCACACACGTCTCGGGGCGTGACTCAGTGACGCGGGCCGCCGCGCGCGCAGCTGCGGCAGCTTCTCGCGACCGTCACCGCGTCGGGCGCGCGTGGCTCACCGGCGATGACTCCCACTGCGCTGTTGGGCTTAGTCAGCCCCGGCTGCACCAACAGTGCCGACTGGATGCTGTGTGCAAACCATGACGACTCGAGACATCTCCAGAGTGTTTAATGTCGATGTTTGCAGCTGTCTCCGTCTCGGACGCTTACGCAAGCTGAGATG